AGGACTAAAAACATTAATCTGCTCCCCAATGGGTTGTGCGAGGGATCTTATTGCACCAGAACACTTCGTCAAAAAATTATGGATTTTCGTCAAGAAACAGGGGCTGCAGTGTTCATCGTGAGCTACAATCAAAGATCACAAAGAGAGCTAAAACGGGGACTATCACATGGCGAATTCCAATTGAAACTAGATGTTCTGATCAAAGAATACAGTTTGAAGAACTCGGCTGATGATACAGTTACCATCACCCCCACTCCACAATCGAAAACTGATGCTAACATCTACACTCCTTGTGGGATTCACGAGGTTGAGGTCAACACGCCCACCACACCACCTGAGGTTGAGGTCAACTCGCCCACCACTGTTAGAGAGGATAAATTTATATTCTTGTCATATAGTAATAGTACATGCTCCAATCTTTAGGCTATCAAGCGTCTATGTAACTTAGGCCTATATGACTTCTTCTTCTTCTAAGAATGAAAGTATTATTCTTCCTATGTCCGGAGCCGGTTGGGAGGTTATGTAATGTTCTCGCTCGTTTCTACTACATGTCATGTGTGTGTTGTGTAGTAACTATAGAAGACAATAAAATGTTCCATATCCACATTATTGCGCGTTATTTAATAACCCTAACAGTGGTTATGGGCCCAGAGGCCGTTTGTGGATATGGATATTAATAACTGGAACATTGCGATATCAGTTTATTCACGGATTCGCGAGTAACGATTGATCCTAACCTACACATAGGTTGTGCCGTGTGCGACTACGTGAGACTTTTGTTCTTTGTTCTGAAGACAGTACCGACAAAAAATTAGTGCTTCTTCAGGTCTACCTATTGTTGAAAAACTACAGGGGAGGGAAAACTTCTCAACTTGGAAATTTGCTATGAAGGCCTATCTCGTACATGATGACCTTTGGGATGTCATAGAGGAAACCCCACTGGACCCCATCAGTGATAACTGGAAGAAAAAAGACAAGGAAGCCCATTCAAGAATTGTTTTATTTGTGGATAAAATTAATTATTCTCACATCAGAGACACGAGAACGGCTGCAGAAGCTTGGAACGCCCTGGAAAAGGCCTTTGAGGATTCTGGCTTAACAAGGAAAGTTGGCCTACTAAAAACCTTAGTCACAACCACGCTTGAAAAATGTAAGTCTATTGATGATTATTGTGATAGAATCATAACAACAGCTTTTAAGTTGAAATGAAATTTAACGTTAGTGAGGAGTGGATTGGTACCTTGCTACTCGCAGGTTTGCCTGATGACTACAAACCGATGATCATGGCATTAGAAAATTCGGGAACACCTATCACTGGTGATTCCATCAAAGTAAAACTCCTTCAGGATGTGAAATCCGAGGACTGGACTGGTGAATCTGCTCTTTATGCCAATAAACAGTTTAGGTCTAATAAGTCGACACCGCTAAAATGTTTTAGGTGCAATAAGCCTAACCATCTAGCTAAGAATTGCCCTCAATCAAATAGTAGTAACAATAAATCAAATAATAGGCCTAACCAAAACAGTAGGTTTAGACCTAATGAATCTAGATTTTCAGATAGGCCCAATAAAAGTAGGCCTAATGAGTACAAACATGAAAATAGCCATGATACAAGTAAGAAAAATGCTTTTCTGGCGGTAGACAGTCATCGGCGTACCCATAATGAAGGTTTATGGTACTTGGATTCATGTGCGTCCACACACATTACAAACGATGTAAATAAGCTTAGCAATCTATAGCCAAATAGCTGTACAATAGTTTCAGCAGATGGTTCAGATCTAGTTGCAGATAGTTCTGGCACTGTAGATCTTGAGCTATATAATGAAGTTGTAGAAGTAGAAGCCAATGATGTTTTTCACATACCAAGTTCGGCAGTTAACTACTATCAGTGAGTAAGATAGTTAAGAAGGGACACACTGTAACCTTTGACAAAAGTGGGGGTTGAAAGAAAAATCTGAGGTGACAAAAATCTTAAAAAGTTTCAAAGCCATGGTCGAGAAACAAACAGGAGCGAAAATAAAGAAAATCAGATCGGATAATGGTGGCGAATACGTCAATGAAGAAATGAAGAACTATCTTTCTTCTGAAGGAATTGTTCACCAACTTACGACTCCCTACTCCCCTCAACAAAATGGAGTCACGGAGCGAGCCAATAGAACATTAGTTGAAAAAGCTCAAACAATGTTGTTTGATGCAAACCTGCCTAAAATATATTGGGCTGAGGCTATTTCTTCAGCTGTGTATTTAACAAACCGCTCGCCTTCAGCAATCCTTGGAGATAGAACACCTTATGAAATATGGCATGGGAGAAAGCCCAGTCTAGCTCACCTGAGAGTATTTGGATGCAAAGCCATGGTACAGATACCAAAAACGCAAAGAAAGAAATGGGACCCAAAGTCAAAAAAAATTATTTTTGTAGGCTATTGTGCATCAACAAAGGGATATCGACTTCTCGACCCTAAGACAAACAAGATTACAATCTCTAGGGATGTAATATTTTTGGAAAACCAAAAAGAAGAGGATCCTGAGACCAGTCAGAAGTTAAATAAGCAAGTTCAGGAGAACAACGTAAACCTTTCAGCACAAATCGAGTCAAGTGAAGATGGACCTGAAGAGAACGAACATCATGCAGAAGATAATCTCCCAAATGAAGATGAAGATACTGATGATGAAGATTTTCTTGGTTTTGAAAATGAAGACGTGCCAAGTGAAGCACCACGACGATCTGTTAGACAGAAGAAACCGAAAACTTGACCTGATCATGTAATATACTACAGTGAAAAGAATGATGATACAGAAATCACCATAGAAGAAGCCCTACGAGAGTATCTCCAAGTGCATTAGAGAAGTGGGGGCAGCAGTGGAATATGCAGAAAATAGAGAGAGATGGAGAGTATTTGTTGGTGCGGCCAAATCCCGCCTTGGGCATAAATGGCCATGGGAGTGAGCGAGTGATTATATCATTATTTTCAGCTTTTCTTTGTTTAATTATATTTTGTAAACAAATATCAATTAATTACATTCTATTGTTCATCCAAACTAGAACCTCTCTCTCTTCTCTTTCTCTTTAATATTATTACCCTATACAATTTACAAAGTACCTGCGTTCTGCCAATATATTGATAATGATGTCCTCCTCCAGTATTGGTGGTCGAGGAAAACTGAATATTAAATATTCAAAGATAATGATGCTTGAACATTAAATATGATTGCGCAGGCAGTAGTATTAACAGTTTGTGACGTAAATTCTGAGGGAGGAATAAAATTGTACTCTCAAAACAGGCTAGGCCTACCCCTAGAACCAGCCATACTCAAATTTTTCCCGGAGAGCTCAGAAGGAGCTGATAAAATCCAGGGGTCAATACAAAGCTGTTTCACGGCTTTAACTGATTATTTTAATTTTAATAGAAGGTTCAGAGCTCTAGAAGCACTCAGGAAATCCTGCAAGCGCTCAGGTTGAGCTATTTCATCCTCACCTTCATTAAGTGTTTTTGAACATTTTGCCTAACTTTTAGAAGGACTCTGTAGGTTCGACAAGTATTCTATTTGGCCAATTCAATGAAACTATTTGTCTAACCCTTTCAATTATTTATGAAATTATTTACTAGGTAAATGGAACGGTTGTAATTTTGATTGAATTCATTTAAACCAAACTAAGCCACTCCCGCTATAGTAACTGGCAGGCAGAAACTGTCGGGTATAAAATAAAGTAGAAATTTACTTTATAAAATGTAGATATATCAAAAATTGAATTTTGAAACGGAAGCCAAACAAAAATAAACGTAAAGCATGAAAAAATATAAGAATAACTAGTATATAACCTTCAGAATATATTTTCGATGACCGTAGATCGTAGAAGATACAAGATCATATGACGAAGCGAGCTTGTTGATAGTCGAAAAACGAATATTGTAGTCTTTTAGTTGACTTACCATTACAGTTAAGTTGCAGCTTACACGCTCTGGAGTGTTATTATGATTAAATATATCGTGTGAGTGTATGTGTATACTTTATTGTATTTTGAGTCCAGGCCTAAGTTCCTTTGCACATCGTTTTTTAACTATGGCCAACACATAGACCCAAGTGTAGTCTTTTATGGATGAAAATAGGTTTTAGTCACGGTAGGTTTTTAACCCTCCTCCTTAAAATCTGCTACCTCACAGGTTTTGCCACTCATCTAGAGTAACAAGGCTCCCTGCATATCTCAACGACTACATTAAACAAAGGAGAGGTGAAACTGTAGAATAAGCTTTATAATTTAATTTTACTGTGATTAAAACAGCTGTTAATTAATATCAGTATTTGATGTTTGTTTTTATTATGTTCAGTAAATCTATTCTTGGAAATGTATGTATGTATGTATCTATCTTTTGAGTTTAATAAAACCATTTACCTAACCCGCCATGTTAAACTTCCCTATCCCAAGCGTGATGTATACAACTTCCTTACTTCTCGAGTGATGTTAAGTTGAAAAAAACTCATTCGGTGATGTAATGAAACCCATTTAAATAACATTGAGTGCTTAACTTAATATACCTCTATGGAGGCATCGACGTTCAACACTAGGAATCAGCTGTGCGCTTGAATGTTATTGTTATGCTTTAAAGTATTTTCCTAACCTAGCTTTTGTTTGTAAAAGAACGTTACTGTTAGACGATGAGTGAAATGGATAATGAAAAATATTGTACGTAAACCTATGTATATTGTCGGGTCAGGTAAAATCTTGTACGTTACACGTTACGCAAGAGCGTGTTTACATCTCTTAGGTGAATTATGCAACTCGCTTCCGCTCGTTGCACAACATTCACCTGCGTGATGTAAAAACGCTCTTACTACACTTGTAATGTAAATAGCTATTAAGCTGGTACAAATTCTTATATTTCATAACACTTATCTCTGATCAAATAAAAAGAAAACATTTAAAAAAAATTAAGACGGTTTTAATCTTACTTAAAATCTCAACAATCACAACAAAAAAGGTTCATGAATAAAACAGTACGATAGCTTTACACCATTTTAATATAAAGCATAAAACGAAGAAATAAGACGTTTTATTTAGCAGCCAGTTCCTTCTGAACAGCAACCACAGATTTCATGCCCTCCTGTACGTTGGCAAGGTTCTGCTTCCAGGAGAAAAGAATGTCTCTCAACTGTTGCCACTGGGCGCGGCCGAAGGTACGATGCATCGTGCTGGAGATGTGCACTTTCCTGTTGGACTGGTCCAGACGCGCTCTAACCAGCTTTGTTTTCAAAACTGTGTAAACAAATCTTGATTCAGTAACAGTGTGACCAACTACAGAGCAATGCTAGTGAAGGGACTTTTAACTTATTGTTATTGAGCAAAGTAAAAAATTGACACAAGAACTATATCAATGAATCAATCAATTATTAAAGATGGGGACGCCACTATGTGCGTATTTTAACCCAAATATGAGTGAAGGATGAGAGTAGGATGAGTGGCTCGATCTTGTAGTCTTGTGTTCCTTAGACACAGCTGTTAATTAATAGCCCATACAGCCAATGGAAACTAAGAAGGGACCTACAGTTTATATTGGAATCTGAACTGAACCAAATTTTTCCTTGTAATTAACAAATTGGTCTAATTATTAGCATAGTAGGCCTACTGCGAAAAAAAGTTAATTACATTTTCATCTGCACCTCAAATAAAACTCCTTAAACAATTTTACCTACGACCGTTTTTTAAAGTAGCCGTTTCAGTTTAATTCTTAGAATTGAAAAGTTTCTCATAACAGCATTGTTTACTTCATTAACAGCATAGTTTTACTCATAACAACACGGGTAACGGACCAATGAGGTTCAAGGATTGAGAGTGAAGAAGTAAAATTGTAATGATTCGAACTTCAACTAATCAGCTGTTCACGCCAATTTAATTGTTGAGTGCTGCAATTAGTGTTTGGTTCAATGTTTCGTTGCATCACTGTAATTGAAAATGAGAGGTTAAAAACGAAAACATAACCTCTCTTAGAAGTTATGTGTAGTGATTTTTAGTAATTAAAACACTGTCGTAGGTAAAGTAGTGTACGCAACTTGCGTAAATAGTGTTAACGACACTCGTAGAAGTTTTTAAGGCACTCGCCAAGACTCGTACCTTAAATTTTCTACTCGTGTCGTACTATTTAAACATTACAAAGACATAATACAACTTTCAAAAATATTTTTTGACATGAGACTAATTGATGGTCTTGGTCATTATGAAACACCCCCTCTTCAACAACTTGACATATTCTAGTGTATTTACTACAATGCAATAAAACTCTGGTACCATCAATGATGAACGGTTCGACCTGGTCGGCCTGCAGCTGTAGCTCTCGCTGGATAGTGTCAAATGACATCTCGGTGCTGCCCTCGGCAAGCTGCATGAATGTCAACAGCCTCATCTTCTTAAGGTTCTGTTCGTGGTTCAAACCTAAACAAATAATTGCAATGGGTGAGATGTGAGCTTTGAATGGTTGGGTTAATTACAGGAGACTATACCTATATCTATCCACTCTAGAGTATAGTAAAAATAATTCTATTCTTTAAAAAATTTCAATCATATAGGCCACTATATAATTTTTTTCTTTTGAATATACGTTTGACGTTATCAAACGTATTACGTTTGATTAGCTTGAATGAACCGTATGATCAATAGGACTGTTGGTCTAATTTATTAAAAATCCATTTCACCAAGTTTTTCTTTGTGCTGCTTCCATTTTTATTTCATCAAACGAACTTTGATTATTAAAAACAGTTATGTGGGAGACTACTGCATTAGCATATCAATAGTGGGCCTCTGTATTTGTCTTGACATATGGTTATGTAAAGTAGTTTTAGACACATCTATTAACCATGGTGGATCATCCTTCAGGTAAATGAGGTTCTACTGAACTGTGCAAACAGTCAGAAAACCTAGCTGTTAGAGTATTTAACACATACATAGTCTTTGATAAGGGTTAATATTACACTACAATATATTGTTTCATTACCTAGCGACTGTACGTATTCCTTGTGGTCCTGGTAGAAAGAGACGTAATTGGAAAGCTTCTCGGAGACAAAGACGTTGAGAAGATCGTGGACCAGTGATCCCTCCAGGAAGCGCACAGGTTTGAGTGCCAGCAGAGGGTCCAGCAGGAATGTGCCAGGGTCAGCCAGGGCGGCTATGATACAGCGCTGGGCGTCCTCTCTGGCTTGGCTGGCGTTCTCAGTCGTGTAAGTCCCTAACAGCTCCACCATCACCTTTGCTGCCAACTCACTGCAAACATAGTTAAAATAATTGTGGTAGCCCTTGATCACTATACATTTTTTACATTACATTATTTGTCATGAGAGCCGAAGCCCCCTGACTGCATACCCGGTACCTATCCTTTAGGACATACCCGGGCCCCATGATGTAGGCCGAAGCTTACGCATCAACCTTTAGCACATCATGGGCGGATGACTTAAGGTCATCAGGCTCGCCGGCTGCCGAAGCAGACCCTTCGGAAGGAGGGTTGCCCCTCAATCCTAACCAGGGATTCCGGCTGCTTGTTTAAGCGTCACTCCACCTGGGTTCCACTAGGTCAGGACCTAGAGGTCCATGGTAGAGCGCCCCGACGCATTTAGTGCAAGCAACACTCGGGACCTATCTAATCCCTGACAGGCAGAACCCGCCATCAATAGCCAGGAGGAAGGGGACCGTCAGCACGCTGACGGGGGGAACCCCAACCTCCCATTTACACCACTACCCGATCGAGGCCTTACCCATTGCTGGGAAACCAGAGATAACTAGAGCGATAGATCCCCAGATACCCCTGGCGGGCTCGGACCCAGCACCCGATCTACTTCGTTTGCCCGTCAGACCCAACATCACTGCCAGGCCATCAGGGTTTCCCAAAAGGAGGCAGGTATAGAAGTGGGACCCACCCGGATGAACCTATCCACCAGAGGTGGCGACACCCTTGACTCAATTGAGGTTCCGGGAAGAACCCCCCACACTCAAGATAACCATACCGTCCGTACTCAGAGACCTCAGACCTTGATCACTATACTTGCCCATTCTCTTTGTTATGTATGCACTGTGTATAAAGACTCTCCTACTTATGTTAAGTGTGGTTGTGCAATGGCCAGCCACGGCCGGTGGCTAATAAGCTGAGTGAGCAAAAACTTTAAAATTAAGTTTTATGCAAATGAGAGGCATATTGTAGCACGTACTGGGTTCCAGTCGTAGTGGACGTAGTTTAATAAGAACCAAACAGATAGCAGCACTAAACAAAACTGCTAGCAGGCCCTCAGTGTTACCAAATGGAGGGAAAAAGCAGGGGCGAAAAACTCAGATACACCATCAAAAAATACCACAAAAAAGGTGTCAAGTTCAATTTTGAGGTTAGGTTCCTTCCACAATGCTACACAACAGTAATTATTGTTATTCTATTCAATTTCACTAAATCCAAGAAAAACCCCACACTACAATAAATTTGGTACAGTCCCCACCACCGATGAAATTTTCGGATCTGAAAACGAATTATACCGGATTGAAGTATAAAACTGGTACAATAAGCAGCAAGCGGCGCAACATTACCCGTGCGAGGCTGAGGGACCAATTGGCCAAGAAAAACAACATCTATGTTGTTTTTCTTGATAATCTATATTGTTCTTGTTTGATAATCTATAGATTATCAAACAAACTATCCTTTTATTTTTACTAGAAATAAAATGAAACAACAAACTGTAGTTGGAGGTTACCTCTGTTTGCTGGCAAGCAGCACTTCGTGTAACAGTCTGAGCAACTTCTGCATTTGCTCGTTGGAAGGTTGACAGAGGACTAACTGTTGCTTGAGAGTGTCCACGTCCTTGAACACAGCTCGCACCTGGTCCACTTTGCTGGCTATCTGCACGAGGTGATAGTAGACTTGATATCTCATTGGAGACCTCTTGTCTAGCGATTGGAACAGCAGCCATAGCCTACAAAACATGTCAATCATTGATATTAAACAGAATAGAGGGTGTGTATTTCAAGGCGAACATGTGAGAAGAATTAGTGTAAGATGAATGAAATTAGCCTATAGCTTTGATACTACGAGTGTACAAAAAGTGATTTTTAGGTTTTAGCAGAGCTGATCTTTTACAGCAAGTAATATAATAGGCTATTTGGATACTCATTAATATAATTTCTTGGGCGATTCAAGTTAGTACAGTATCTATTCATTATATTAATTTTTTAAACAAAAATTGTGTTTTTTTTTACCATCATTCAATGCTTATTGTTCAAATACTCGCACACTCCTATTCAATACTGACTAAGATCAGCTGGTTCTCTGGTCAAGAGCCCACTGGTTAAGGTCAGCTGTGTCCAGTTTTAAACCATCAAAAAGCTACAAAATTATCTCAGGATCAAACTGACTAACGATCTTCTGATTGCTAGGTTAGCTATAGGCATATTCTTTTACCACTAAGTTACCCAGCTAAAGTAAATAAACAATATTAATAAATGTACATTTAATTGTTGTTTCTATTTTACTTTTGCTTATAACTTTTTGACAGCCTATAAATTGAAAAACCAACTTCTTACTAAAGTTGTAGATAATGTTATACCCTTTTCAATGATACCAAACAATATGGGTTTGTAAATAAATATAAAGCAAAATATTTACTAAACAATACATAAACACTGAACAAGGCACAACGTCCAGGTATGATTCAGTCCGGTTTCATTATTATGATATTTCCCCCATTTATTCTACTATTGCAGAATCGATCATCTTTAATAATATACATTTAACAACCTGTTTATATGTGTGTAATAATCATCAAGGTATTGAGCTAACGGGCATCAACCTTCAAGTTGCAGCACGAATTATTAATTACTCAATTAACAAAACTTAATACTGAATCCGAACACATACACATTAATAAATGTGTATATTATTTCAACTATAATTATTTAATATGCAAATTCAATTATTAAAAACACCAAGATGTAATCTAAAAACTCCAAGATGTAAACAATTTATTAAATTAGGTCCATTACACTAAAATGATTTAAGCTGTACATGTACTACATTTAATGTTTTTGTCATGTTTTTCTCTTATTGAGTTAGTTCGTTTCTGCATACTGCATTTAAAATTGATCTGCATCTGCAGAAAGCACAGCATGGGACTTTTTGCCTTTTGAAAATACATGATAATTTAGCCCATTTAAGGCAGTTGCAAGCTCGGATGAAAGTCGTTGGTTTTTCCTACTAATATTATAAATGAGAAAGTTTGGATGTATGGATGTATGGATGTATGGATGTATGTTTGTGACAAGTGAACGCGAAAAATACTGGTCGGATTGGGCTGAAATTTGGCATGATGATAGCTCACATTCCCGATTAACATATAGGCATATTCTTATTTCAAAAATCCTTTCGGGCTCCGCCCCAGTGGCCCTGGAGTTTCCCATGTTTACCTTATGAGAAATGAAATTATTGAATCTTAACAGCTGTTTCAATTAAACAAGTTGGTTCTGTTCTGTGATGTTCAATAGCATTAAAGTTACAAAAATTACCAACAGGGTGCAGCACTATTATTTCTTTTACATTTATGACAACAGCTAATTTGCAACCAAAAGGTGAGTGAGCGTAGCGAACGAACTTCAACCTGGAGGCGAGTTAGCGTAGCGAACGAGCTAACCTGAAGGCAAGTGAGCGCAGCGAACGAGCTCCAACCTAAAGGTGAGTGAGCGTAGCGAACGAGCTCCAACCTAAAGGTGAGTGAGCGTAGCGAACAAACTTCAACCAGGACGTGATTGAGCCATGCGAACGAGATAATCTTGAAAATTAAGAAGTTAAACGGGGCAAAGCCCGCGGGTTACAGCTAGTAATTTATATATGTATATTTATTTGCATGTTGAGTATGACCATATGATCTGTATGAACAATTGTTGACCTTTTACTGTCTTGTTTCTGATAGGCTCGATGCTTGCATAGCTACATTTTTATTTTTTGATCTATTATGACTGCCCAGACAAATGTTTTGTCTATTCATGTTTTACCGGATCTAGTTTTATTTTCTTGGTTGAACTTGAACCTCATTTGTTGTTGACTTTGTCATATGCATGTACCTTGCAAATTACGGCAATAAAAAGTTTCTGATTTCTGATTTCTGATTTATGCTGTCAAAAAGTTATAAGCAAAAGTAAAATAGAAACAACAATTAAATGTACATTTATTAATATTGTGGAATAAATAGTAGGTTAACAAAAAAAGTGTAAATACAAAAAAGATAGGCTTAAAAATATCTTACAAACAAAAAAAGAATCATCCCGGTTCGTTAAACGGTATGTGAAATATACGCATTTGAAGAATTGTTCCAGCCGCAATGTTGTCCGGACTTACTACCATGTTAAGTGTTAGTTAACGGGTTATTTAATCTCTTGGCTTTAATTTTAATTTCAAACATTAATTGTTTAGTATCGTTGGAAAGGGCATAAAATTATCTACAACTTTTGTAATGAGTAGTTATTTCATTCTATAAGCGTTTAACAAGTTATGAGGAAAAAATTCAAAAACAATGATATTAAAAACCACTTTTTAAAATATAGTGAGATAAATATTAAGTTTACAACAAAAGTGTAAATACAAAAAACATTCCCTGTAAAGTTATCTTTCAAACAAAAAAAGAATCACCCCGATCCGTTAAACGGTATGCGAAATATACGCATTTAAAAATTGCCCTAGCCGCCATTTTGATGACGTCATAGCTGGAAAACGTACCAGGTGCGGACTTGACACCCGAGTGGAAAACACTTCCTAAGACGCTTATATTGAAATGCAAAGGCAAAATTCTCTATACACGACATGCAAACAGAACCCTAGTCATGTCCAGGACTAAATCTTTCCCGGACCGTACACCACTTTCAGTGTTTGTTTACGGTTTATTCAATCTCTTTGCTTTATTTTTAGGTCTAATCACATATTGTTTGGTATCATTGGAAAGTGTATAGAATTATCTGCAACTTTTGCGACGGGTGGTATTTGATATTATCAGCGGTTAAGAAGTTATAAGCAAAGCAATAAATATAATAACAATAAAAACAACTTTTTTCAATATTGTGGGGTGAATATTAAGTTTAAAACAAATGTGTAAATACAAAAAAGATAGTTTGTAAAAATATCTTTCAAACAAAAAAAGAACCATCCCGATCCGTTAAACGGTTTGCGAAATATACGCATTCAAAAATTGCCGAGTCGCCATCTTGATGACGTCATAGCTCGAAAACGTACCAGGTGCGAACTTGACACCCGAGTGGAAAACACTTCCTAAGACACCTACAGGGTGTCCACAGAAAATTTGTCATTAATTTCCATGACCATTTAACATTGATTTCCGTGACTCACAAATTTTATTCGAAAATTATATATAACATACGTGTACACACGGATAATACTGCCTAGACAAGTAATTTCACAGAAAATACTGAAATATTAACAGATAACAATGGAGTAATAAATTTTGCAAAAATATGGTATTCAAAATAAGGAAGAAAAGAAAAAAACCCAGCCTCCTCCGTCCCCGTAGCTGGCCAAGTTCTCTCTCCACTTTCTTTTTTCCTTCCGATATGTTTACTAAATTTAGCTTTTAACTTAAGAAAGACTTGACTTTAAGACAACTCAAAACATTATAACAATAGCCTATTATTTATATTCCAATTTGAGTTGTAATAATAAAGTTGTAACATTTCAATATACACTACTGTTGTAACAATATTCTACAATTATTAAATTCAATTATAATATATTGTAGGGACAGATTGTATTGAACTATTACAAACTCAAAACTCATAAACCTATACAAATAAATGTAATAAATTAAATTGTCGTGCATTTGTGAAAAATAAAAGAAATGCTACAATAGTCGGGGTTATGGCCGACTAGAGCATTGAAAAGTCCCGTCAAACCTATCCATCATTGGGGATTTCCATGACTTTCCATGACCTTTTGCCTATTTCCATGACTTTCAATGACCAGAATTTATTTCCATGACTTTCCCTGACTATCCCTGACTTTCCAGAATGTGGACACCCTGCACCTATATTGAAATGCAAAAGCAAAATTCTCTATACACGACATGCACACAGAACCCTAGTCAGGTCCAGGACTACTAGGAGAAAGTGAAATACACCATTGGAAAGCTAATATTCTCAAGTTTTTTCCCATATATTAGAAGTGCTCAATAAGGGATCCTCGGCTTATGTTACACACATCTATTCTAAAACTAAATTCTGCCCAAACTTTTTCAAGAATGGTCTCATTGACACTTTGTACTGCAGTAGTAATGCGATTTTGGAGCTCCGATAAGGTTCAATGGCAAAGGAGGAACAAAAACTTTGTCTTTCACATAACCCCACAAAAAAAAGTCACAAGGAGTCAAGTCCGGGCTTCGTGGAGGCCAACGTTAAAGATTCAAATTGTCGTCAGCAGCATGACCAATCCAACGCTGCGGTAGCCTCTCGTCAAGGTAGTCCCTTACATTGTGCATCCAGTGTGGTGGTGCACCATCTTGCACCCAAACAAAGTCATCACTGTCTTCCTGGAGTTGAGGCATCAACCATTCAGTCAGCATGTCTAAGTAAACATTTCCTCTGACTGTAGCTTCTTGAAAAAAGAATGGACCATACACCTTCTTCTTTGATAAAGCACAAAACACGTTCAGCTTAGGTGAATCTCTTTCATGATCAAAAAAAGCTCAAGGATTTCGGTGCCCCAAATTCTGACATTATGCCTGTTGACTTTTCCACTAATGTGAAACGTGACTCATCCCCAAAAATTAGCAGTGTTGGGAAGTAGCGCGCTACAAGTAGCGACGCTACAGTAGCGCGCTACTTTTTTTGTAGCGTTAGCTGTAGCGTCGCTACTTTTAGGATTTTGTAGCTTTAGCTGTAGCTGGCTATATTTTTAAAGTAGTTGTAGCGGAATTTTAGC